GGGCCGAGTCATCTCGTTGGAGTCTGGTAGCAGGCCAGGAGCTTGTTCACAAAGGCTGCATTCAGCTACAACAACAGCAGCCTGATGGGCAGAGGCCCTGTCTCAAACATTCTTGACTGGGCTTCTGGGGGGAAGGTGTTACCGGCCTCCAAATATTTGTTGCTGTTTCCACAGCGACCACGGTGGCCATAGTGAAACCCTGAAACTGCACATCAAAACTTGGGAGGTGCTGCAAAGTCGAGCCTGCCTGGGAGAAGCCTCTCTGCTGGATCTTTTCTCCTCATGAACTGAGGATTTTTTTCGAGGCTCCTTTCAAAGGGCCTTAAAGAGAAGCTATTATGCTACTGCTTGCTCTGAGGAAAGATGTATGTGCAAAGACTGTTGTCAATTGCCCATGACAGGTTTTAAGAGACTTAAACCAAAATGAGCAGCCTGCTTGTTGTCTGCCAAACTTTGGCAGGCTGGTGTACCACCTCTGGATCTGGCACAGGACAGGAACACCAGCTACTTCCTGTGCAACTTTAGGGAAGTCACTTACTGTCACTGAGCCTTCTACTCAGCAAAAAATTCCAGTAAGCCCAATTTAGTAAACTCTTACAGATGCCTACTCTGAGCTAGATGTGGGGATTATGAAGCTGGATATGCCAGGCTATTGCCCTCAGGCAGTTCCCATTGCCCCCCAGGCAGAGCTGCATTAAGTACTGGGTTGGACTATACCACATGCCCACTGCCTGGCACCCAGTTGGACCAGTTGTACTTTCAAAGTTTATTTCCTTCCTTCTTCGAAGTGGGCTACTCCAAAGAAAGCCCTGACAGCTGAACAAGAGCCCATGTTCTTTTAAAACATTCTTCTTGTAACCAAGAGAAATTTACCAATTTGAACATAACTGAGGAGAACTGACCTTTCACTAATTTTACCCATTCTGTCCTTATTCCAAAATGCTTTCACAATTCATGCCTCACTGGATTTTCTTAACTGTGTGCTGAATTTGGAGAGACAAGAATGGTTGTTTCTAGTCCAGGTTCAAGGTGCTGAGGCTTCAAGATGAAGTGATTTACCCAGGTCACATGGCTGAATTAGAGGCAGGAGTGGAATTCAAACATACATTTTCCAACTTATTCTTTCAATAAATATTTCTTGAGTAGCTGCTAGGTGCCAACATCATTCTAGACACTGGGATTCAAGGCCGTGAACCAAACAAATTTGCAGTAAGAATCTTAAGCTCTAAGGCAAGGAAGACTATCAACAGACACATAGATACATAATATATCAGGAATGATAAGCACGATGGAGAAAAACTCAGCAGAATGGAGAAGACAGAGGTGCAGAACACCATTAAATATAACATGGTTAGGGAACTCCCTTCTAAGGAGACCTGAGAGAAGTGAGGAATGAACCACGTGGATGCCATGGTGGAAGCAAGTCCCAGTTGGAGGGAAAACAAGGCTTTTTCCTGTGGTGGAAATATGCTGGCATATAAAACAGCCAGAAGGCCAGTCTGGCTGGAACAGAGAAAGGGATGGGGATATTGGCAGGAAATACAGCCAAGAAGGAGTGGTCCAGTCCATGAGGCACTCATAGCAGTGTAATGAATATTGGATTTTTCCCTGAGTGAAGTGGTAGCCATTGAGGGCTTTGGAGAAAGGCTTCCTCGTCATGTGATTTAGACTAAGGTAAAAGGTCCTCTGGCTCCCACACAAACAACAGGACAGCAAGGGTAGAAACAGAGGCCAGTGGCGGGGGGGGGTGGTTTTGGTGGTGGTGGTGCTCTTGCAGCAGACCAAGCAAGAAAGGAGGTGGCTCCCAGACAGCGGTGGTCTGGGAAAAGGAAAGTGTCAGATTCTGGATTTAATTCTAAGGAGAGGTTTTAAGGTTTGTTGATGATAGGAGGTAGAATGTGAGAGAGAGAAGAGTCAACAATGATTCTGGAACTGAGTAACGGGGAAAAGGAAGTTGCCACATCCAAGGGTAGAAAATTCTGGGAGAAGAGCAGTTAGGGGTGATAATCAAGAATGTTGCTTTAAATATGACAGAACTTCAAAAAGTTTGTGAAAAAAAGTGAAATTAAAGTTTGAAACTTATTTTGATGCACAAAAAACATAAGATCCATATATAGTTTTTCATTGTACTCATTTTCTATGAACTTTTTGAAGACTGCCCCCCCATGTTACATTTGAGATGCATATGGGGGAATCCCATGAAGAAGGCAGAGAAGGTGGAGAGAGGAAGGCTGGAGCTGTTCATTCTTCACACACATGTTATTTATAGCCACAGGGCTTGAAATCCCCAAGGGAGAAAGTGGAGGTAGAGAAGAGGACCAATCCTTGGAGCATTCTAACAGAGTTAATAAGTGGGAGAGGACCCAGCCAAAAAGCTATGGAGAGGGCCCTGTTGAGGCAGAAAGAAAACTCAGAGACTGCTGGTCTAGACGTAGGGAAGGAAGTGTGTTAAGAAAGGAGTGACTCACAGGAGGTCAAATTAGTGATAAGTTAGGGAGAGGACTGAGAATTGACCTTCATATTTGCCCAAGAGTCTTAGTGGTCTTGACAATATCTACTTCAATGAAGTGTTGAGGACAAAGGTCTGTGAAGTAGGTTCTGGAGTAAATAGGAGGAGAGAAAGTGGAGACTACAAGTAGGTTCAACTCTTTAGAGCTTGCCTATAAATAGAAGCAGAGAAATGAGGGGAAGAGGGAGATCCACAGAGGATTTCTTTTCAAATAATGGTTGACTTCATAGTATGTTTATGTGCTAATGGGAATGGTCTACTCCAGAGGGATAAATTGACAGAAGTAAGGAGCTGCCATGATTTGAGTGTGTTCCTCAAATTTCATGTATTGGAAACTTAATACCCAAATCCACATGTTGATGGCATCTGAGGGGGTGTCTTTGGGAGGTAATTAGGAGTAATTAAGGTCAGCAAGACAGGGTCCCTATGATGGGACTGCCGACTTTATAAGAAGAGAAAAAGAGACCTAGCCTGTTGCTCTACTTGCCACTAGATGCCTCTCACCATGTCCTGACACGGCACGAAGGGGCTCACCAGTTGCCTGCATCTCGTTATTGGAGTTCCCAACTACAAAAGCCACAACCTGAATAAACTTCTACTCATTACAAATTATCCAATGTATCCAGTTATAGCAACAGAAAATTAACTAAGACAGAGGCCTAGGCTAGGAGCAATGTCCTTGAGTGGATGAGATGGATGCGATCAAGCTCCATCTCTGGTGTGTCTTCAACTGGAATAACATGGCCTCCCAATTAATAAAATTATGTGTCTGGGAATCCTTTGAAATTATTTCCAAATCAAACATTTCTTTCTATTATATAGAGTAAGTTTTCCAGGATGTAGTAAAAATACTGCCAATAAATCTTGAGGAACCTTCCTTACTGAACAAAGTGAGGTAGCTCCCCCTTCAAGACTACTTCCCCTGGTGCTGAGCACACCTCTGACTGCAGATTATTCATGCAGCAGACTCCTTCGGCAAGCAGGGACTCATCACAAGCAGCAACTGTGTTCTATTCCTTGTCACAACCCCTTGGCTAGCAAAGGCCTGGCCCAGATGTCTTCTTGAGTCATTTGGGAATGGAAGAAAAAGAAGAAGTAAAAAGAAAGAAGGTGGGAATTGGATCTTACTGCCCTGCTGAA